AACTCAGGAGGGGAAAACCAACTTCTGACTGCAGATGAACTCCAGAAAGACCATTTCAAGGGAGATGATGGTGTGGTGGAAAATATACCCCAAAAACCATGAGTCTGCATCTGAGATGTAAAGAAAGTCATTCTGGTTAGCTGTAGCTTACAGAGGGCAGCAGGGATTCCTTTCACAGACACTGTGCCCAAGGCAGGTATTCCATGAGACCTTGGAGTGAGAACCTTGGCTCTTGCTGGTGGTTCCCAGGGTTAAGGCCTTAATTTCTCTTGTCTCTCCATGTCCCTGTCTGTACAAGAAGTCTGGGGATAAACCTTCTCAGTAAATCATCTGAAAACAGGCTTCCCACAAAAGAGAGCCCATCCTGATGGTGGTGGAGAGGTCTGGAGGTCTCATTAGGAGGCATGACTTGTGGGAGCTCATGGAGAAGCTGTGGAATACAGTCATGTGTTCGTACCTCTAATGTGGCTTTTTCTCTTTTTTTAAGCACTGCACAAATGTGAGACTCTCTAGATAAAAGTGAATTTAACAGCTATTTGTATCCTTTGAGGAACATCAGTACTGGTTGAAAGAGGGTAAAAGACCTTTTTTGTTGAGTCTGGAATGGACCTGCTTTTATTGGAGGACTCTATGACTGCTTTTGTTGCTATTTCCACTGACAGCTTTTACATGACTTGTTTTCAAAATCCTTCTTGGAGATTTTTTTTTTTCTATCTTGAAAAACTGCATTTCCTTGCTGAAATTCAAGTTTGGGGTCTGGAAAAATGTCCAAAATTATTTTGCAGATGGCTTGTTGTGATATAGAAGTTCCAGAAATAGGACATTCCATGGGGGAAGTCACCTGTTTATTTCCAGGAGGGTAGATAATTTATTTTAAACAATGCCATTTTCTTTTCAATTATAGACGTTTTCGTGGAAAAAAATTGCAGCAGTCTCTAAGAAGGAGCACGTGACCACAATTAAAGGATGTGTTGTGCTGTATCAGAAGGTAGTATTTAAACCAGGGAAAGTCTGAATATTGGCTATAACTCATTGTAATTATACCATCTATTTCAAACATGTAAATATGTTTGGTAGCACTTACATGTTTATGTCAGCTATTGGGAAAAGACGTTTTTCTTTTTGGTAAACTTGTGGTGGTAGGAATTTTGTTACTTGTATTTGAATAAGTAACAAACAATTTATATACCACAAATTTTTGCGTGAATAGAATTTGTTCCACTCTCTTGGAGTTTTAGGATTTTGTTCGTGGTCAGTTTATTTATGATAAATTTCATGAATATATAATATTAATAAGCAATGTATTAATTAAGACATGTATTTCTTAATAGAACAGACCATGACCATAGCAGAGCTGGTGTGACACATGGGTGGAAGGTGAAGCTGGGAATGGAATGAGTGGGAATATATTCCTGGCTCTTCCCATCTTTACTGGGATCAGTGGTGTTTAGCTCATTTTAAAAGGGCTTTGAGATTCCCCGAGGTTGAGATCCCTCCAGAAGACCTAAAGTGTAACACACAAACCCTGCAAAAACCTGAAGGCTGATTTAACCTGGCACCTGGAGTGAAGCTGTGTCTCTGCTCAAATTGATGAGAAAAGTCCCTTTGCTTCTGGGGACTGGGATCCTTCACCAGGGGAAATCATTCTGAGCCTATTTCCCGTCCCTTTGACATTGTCTGTCTTATCAAAAGCCAGAGGAGTAAGGAAGAAGGTTAATGACTAAATTGGCAAATAAACAATCAGTTCAAAGAAACAAGACATTTCCAGGAAAATTTTAGAATTTCCTCTGGAAACCAGTTAGGAATGTAAACACTGCCACACTTCAATATAAATGGGACCATCTATATGGCACTCATTGTGTTGCAGGGACATAGAACACTCATTGTGTTACAGGGACTATTTCTGGGAAACAGAAAGGGCTTTGGGTTTTCCATGGAAAATTTTCTGTTAGAGGAAAATTGCAGAAGAGAAAAAAAGTAATTTGGTCATGGTGAACGAAAAAGGGCACGGCCAAAGCAGTGTCTGAGGCAGAGCCCCTCGATGGTGTGAGGTATGATCTGTGCACTGGCTGGCTCTGGGAGGTCAGGTTTGGGGCAGCAAAGCAAAGGAGTCTCTCTTCAGCAAAAAGGAAATGTTTAAGGAGTCCCAGGCCAGGAAATTGCTTCTCATCCCGGTGGCTTAGTGAGTGTTGAGCGATGGTGACAGTGGGATGCTCCCCTCGCGCTCGCAGAACGAGAGAGAGTGTTTGGCCTTCATTTCCAAGGGCTCCACTTTGCCACAGTAATGGTGCATTAACAACAGCTTGATTTTCATTTAATAAATAATAGGAATTACGCCGTGACGCGGCCAAGATTTTAAACAAGAGGCTCCCATAAACATTTTCTGCAGGAATCTGTGATAAACCAAAGATAGCTCGACGTACTCGGGGGGAGTGGGGACGCCAGACTTGGATGCTGTCCATCTGCTACGCCATTGAAACAAAACCACTTTATAATAACCACAGAGGAGAGGAAGCGAGGCAGCTTGGCACATACACTTACACTATGTGTGGTGGAAATGTTTATTCTTTATTTCAGAAAGATTTAGTGGGTGTAGAGATAATAGAGCATAGTGCTCACTTGTGTCTTGGGGAAGGAGGGGTGATGGTGTTTGGGTTTTAAGGGAGTCCAGTGTCGGCTCCCATGGGGAATATTTTTGGTAATACCTATTGCAATCTCATGCACTTGGAAGGCAGGAGGAGACAGAGGAATGAAATGTGCTTTTCAGGAGGGGTGTTGTAAAGGCCCCAGGATTAGTTATCTCTGACGGGAAGGATTTTACAGACTCCAGCAGACAGCAGAGGCAGAATCCTGGCCATTTATGCACTGGCACGTGGATCCTCCAAGGTCCTGTCCCGGGATGCTTCCCTTGGAGCAGCTTGGAGGGTCTCCTGACTCCTGCTTTCTCCAGCCTGATGTGCTGAGGCATCACACTGCGACTCAGAAAATAGGGAAGGATCTTCAAAACGAGAGTCAGGAGGGTCAACAGGCCACTGCACCCTACAGCCCCCAAGGTCGCTGTCACCGTGCTCCCCTTCCCGCTGCGCATGCTCAGCTCTGCTGCACTGCCTGTCCTTGGAGCCGCTCAAAATCAAACCCAACAGACCCTGGGCTGACCTGTGGGGGTGGGAGAGTCCCTGCCAGCAAACGTCTAGACTTGGTATGTGAGCAAGCAAGTGAAGGGATGACTAAGTGTCTGAAAGTTTGGACCTTTGGAGAGGAGTCCCTTGGCTCTTCGTTTCTTGGATACAGTTCTGCTTCCTGTGGAGCCATGGAGATGATAATATTTTTTATCCCTTTTTTTTTTTTTTTTTCCCTTTTCAGAAAAGTAAAAAACATACAGATATGTCTTGGGCGAGAAAGCAGAAACCTTTGAAAAATTTTGGCAAATCAAGACACATGAAGAACGTGTTGAGTGAAACATTTCAGAGCGACAAAAATCAAAACATCTCACTGCGCCTTCAACCGCTTTAAAACATTTTAATGGTTCGAAAGGAAATTTCAAAATGAAAAGTCGTGTTTTGCTTAAAACACTAGAAAGTGTTTCATTAAAAAGGAAGAGTGGAAGTAAAACAATTGCCTCATCTATTTTTTTCTCTCCAATGAACCTGATGGGTCTTTCCCCAACCAATGGTGAAGTCAGGAGCTGGGACCAGACACATCTTCCTTTGTGTTACAAGGTGCCTGGAGCTGGCATCCTTGGATCTGAGAAAGGGACAACATGATGAAGCCATTTGCCATGCAAGAAATTCTTGAATCACCATCAGCTGTTTTATTTATTAATTTTTAAATGCAAATTTGCAGGCCAGCCCAGACCCAGGGCTATGCTTGCTGACCAGCTGGTGCCTACAGAGATTTTTCCAGGACAGACACAGGACAGACTCAGATGCTAGGGAATGAAGAAAGGGGCTGAGGAAGTCAGAGTGCTGTGACATGTAGGTTGGAATGATGGTCTTGGTGGCCTTGGGATCTCTGCTGGCTGTTGCTGTGCTGTTTGGGCAGTTGAGGGGCCATCAAGTGTGGGATGTGGCACCGATGGCCTGTGTAACGTGTTTGGACAGGCTCTGCACCGGGAGAGAATCACAGAAGCAGTCCTAAACTGGAAGGGACCACAGTGGGCCATCCAGTCCAAGGTTCTTTAGAGAAACAGCACCATGAAGACGCGCTGGTGGCTGAGATGAAAGGATCTCCCTAGGGCTACAGAGGCTGGGGAGCCCTGCTCGTTATCTGGGGACAGCGTGGGGAGTCAGAGCCAGCTGGATGGCAGAGGGGAGGCACAGAGACTGCCTGGGGAGCACGATGGGGAAGGCCAACAGCAGGGGAGGAAGGCTAAGGGTGGGTAAGGAAGGATGGAGAAGGCTGAGGGGAGGCGGAAAGACTGAGGGCAGGTGGGGGGCAGAGAGGAGCCGGAGCAGCAGCCGGGGGGCCGCGGTGCTCCCGAGGGGAGGCGGAAAGGCTGAGGCAGCGCTCGGAGGGGCGGGGAGCGCGGGCCGGGGCCCGGGCGGGGGCTGAGGGCCGGCGGGGGCCCCGCACG